GCCAGCCAGTAGGAGCAGTGGCAGGCGGAGCAAGCAGACTACAGGAGCAGCACAAAGGTGGCATGGCCTCAGACTCAATGAGAGGAGTCATCAGGGTGATGTGTCAGGGTCCACACTGACTGGACAGAGCTGTAAGCGAGGCATTTGAAGTAGGGTACGGAGAAAGTTTGGGTAAGTGAATGGAACCCTTACACTGTTGGACTAGAGAGTCTGAGAGGCAAAGGACATTGTTCAATCCATTTGAGCTGGGACGGTTACTTGTGGGGGGTTATGAACTCTGTTCGTGGTATTTTTCCAAGTTAATGCCATGTAACTTCTCTCCCTCTTTCATTAAAAGTTTCTTTTCTACACTCAGACTCTGTGCTTGCAAGTGGGGAAGCATTGCCTCTCAGAGGCACCCAAGGGTGTGTGAGTTTCCCAGGCTACTGGGTGGGGGCTCGAGCCAGTTCTGTGTTAGATGGATGAAAGGGGACCCCTAGATATTGAACCCTGCCCTGGCTGCTGCCGGCAGTACTCAGAAGAAGGGTTACATCCTTCCTGCCAGACCACTGCACTGAGCTCCCTGCCCTGAATCCTGCACCTCCTACACTGTGCCCTTACTCCTACATCCCACCCCTTTTTATTCTAGCAAAATACAGAAAAAACACAGCTACTGCCTACCAACAAGCTCTATCTAATGTTTGAATCACTTTCTTTTATGAATACAAACTTTTTTCCTTCATTTTTGAAAAGTATAATAATTTAAATAAAGTATGTACATTTTCCTTTTATTTTACACAAAGTAAAAAAAAATTACTTCACAATGCCGAGTACATCTGCTAGTAATAATATATAGTGGGACGGCCAACCTGCGGTTTGTGAGCTGTGTGCGGCTCTTCAAAGAAAAAATTGCAGCTCCCGCACCCGCAGCTGTTCTCACAGTCCACTGCTCTGACCCTTTTTTTTCCTTGTCTGGGCAGGGTGCTGCTTGGCTTGAGATCTGATGCTGCAGCCAACAGAAGCCTGCTTGGGCCACACATGGCTCTGAAAGAGGGGTAGCGCTTTTTTTTTTTTTTTTTTTTGCTGAACAAATTCTTTTCCTTGGCTCTTTGCGCTGTATCTACCAGTATTTTAGCTCTTCATCTGTAATGGGTTGGCCACCCCTCATATATACAAAGCATCCTGACACAGTGGGTCTCACCCTGGGGTAAGTGTACCCCTGGGGACTTACAGAGGTCTTTCAGGGAGTACATCAATTCATCTATATATTTGCCCAGTTTTACAGCAGGCTATATAAAAACACTAGCAAAATCAGCACAAAGTAAAATTTCCTACAAACAAAATCAGAAAGTAAGCAATTTTTTAGTAATAGTGTGCTGGGACACTTTTGTTTTTAATGTCTGATTTTGTAAGCAAATAGTTTTAAGTGAGGTGAAACTTGGTGGTACACAAAACAAATCAGACTCCTGAAATGGGTACACTATACTGGAAAAGCTGTGAACAACTGTTCTGACACATACACATTACAACATTGTAAACTATGTAATATTGATCACATAAAAAGGTACTTTTATGCTTCCTCTCCATTGGGACAATCTGCTTTCGGCTGAGCGCTAATGTTTCACCCTCTCAATTTATCATTATTAAGAACCAGTTTGTTTCTTCAGCAAAGGGCCTTATTTTTTTGCAAATATTATCTTTAGGCTCTCAATTTCACTGTTGTTGAAAGCTTTGAAAACATTGTTCTTTTACCATGGAGATAATGGATGTATCATTGTGGAGAATAAGTGAATATGTATGCATGAGACTGTGTATTCAAAGAGGTTCTAAAGTATATAATAACTATAATGAGTCTGCTTTGATTTGATCCTGAAAAACTCTGTCTGAAGCATTTTCTCTTCTATTCTTCCTAGAGTGGGACATGCTGCATTGTTTTGGAAACGAAGCGTGCTCTTAAAAGGGAGTACATTTGTGATGCATTTTTAGAATTCTTTTTGGACTGAATATAATAATATATTTTGGACGCTCCTGTTTATGCTTAATAGAAAATTGAACTTTTATTAACCAGTCATTTTTTTGCCTTCTCTCTGTTACCACAGGTTCAACCTCTCAAATCCAAGATTCTCTGATCTGGTAATATCCATGCTTGCTGGACCAAAGAGCCCTGGAGGCTGGGATAGGGAGCCACTTGGGAGTCCAGCAGCCAAGGAACCTTGATGGTACCAGCAGTGGCTGGGGAGTCCCGACTGAGCCAGTGGTGGCTGGGCCAGCTCAGCCCCAGGGAGACCTGGTGGCAGCAGAAGCAGTGGTGGCCAGGGAGCTCTAACCCTGGGGAGCCCCAGCAGGAGCAAGGTCAGCAGTGGCTGGGGAGCCCAAGCCCTCCAGAACCCCAGCCACAGCGGGGCCAGTGGTGGCCGGAGAACATTTGCCCTGGGAAGCCCCAGTGGCAGCAGGGCCAACAGTGGCCAGGGAGGGAAAGGGATTCCCTGCCTGGGGAGCCCCACAGCCTGAAGGGAAGCCTGGGAGTGGGGCTGGTGGCCAACAGGGGAGCTTTGACCTCTCCTGGTCTGGCAAACTCCCTGGTTTGCATCACTCAGCTACTGAGGGGGCTGGACTAGGGAGGTCCAATCTGTACCTATTCTATGAAGAATCTGTTTTGAACTGGTTGTATCAAATGTTGTCTAAAATTACTCTGTTACCTCTTATACTTTTGGAAAGATTATTTTAAAATCTTTTTTTCTAGCATATAAAATATTGCCTAAATGCAATTTTAGTGACCAATGCATTTTGAGCCCCAAATTTAGCAAAGAATTTAAGCATCAACTTAAAAACTTAAGCACTTTGCTGCATGTTGATAGACTTTAGTGCATGCTCAAAATTAAATATGTGCTTAAATATTTTGCTGAATTGTGAAATCTTAGCCACATATAAATCAATCACAAACGTCCATTGATTTGGATGAGGCCAAGATTTCATCCTTAGTGTTTTGCTATTATGAACATAATAGGAGAGCTGTATGTGAGGAGAGGATCCTCCACACGAGGATCGTCCTCTTACTGTTCAGCATGAGATTGCAATTTCCTTTGTATTATGAATGCCATTTTTTAAGATAATGTGTTGTGGTGTTTTTAAATCAATTAGAGATAGAACAGATATATTAGATCAACATTTTGACAATCAACAGCATTTTGACTGCCAACAGTATTGCATTAACTAGAGGTGGTACGTGGAATGGACATGGTATATCACAAATACATGAGAATTTCACAAATACATGAGAACCTTTCACGCTTACATTGCTTAAATTATTTACTAATAAATGTTTACCTTGTAGAAAGCTTGTATAGTTCTAGTAAATACTATCTTAATATTCAACACTCTCCATGAATTGAGGGGATGCATAAAAGATATGAACTTACAACCAAATCTATTACCTTGTGAAGAAAATGTATTTTGCATTGCCACTAGTTGACTTTCATTCAGTGCTTCCTGAAAAAATAAGTTGTATATATTTTTGAAAACTGGTTTACTATTTTTGATAAACATTATATGGATATTAAGTTGTCTTTTTCCAATGTATCATGTATAATTTATATTCGGATTAATAAATGAAATTTCATGTGTACTTGGTTGCAACTCCTTACCCTCTTTTATTCTAAATACATATGTTTATACATTAAGCATAGTCTTATTATTTATTTATTTATTTAAAATATTTTTACCTCACCTCTCTATTTAAAATATTCAAGGTGGCTTACAAATTTTTTAAAATACGATACAAATGTATATAAAAAATTAAAATATGAGACCCCAGAGGGACATAAAACCTGCTAAAAAGTCTCGAGAGGAGGAACATACACATATAGATTCAAACACTAATAAAAGCATGAGTAAAAAAGGTGGCTTTACCCTAACACCAAAACAATGCTAACATTGGCACCATGTTAAAGATAATTCCACAGCCTGGGAGCAAAAGCTGAGAAGGCCTTGCTCTACGTAGACGTTAATCTCATCTCCATAAGTGAGGTAAACTACTGATACGGTCTCACATGATCTTCTTATCAATAAACTAGGCAAATACAACTTAGATGGGGCTACTGTAAGGTAGGTGTATAACTGACTGGTTAACCATTCTCAGGGTATGTCTACACTACCCCCCTAGTTCGAACTAGGGGGGTAGTGTAGACATACCCTGAGTGAATAGTATGACATGGAGAATGAAATGGAGAATGAGGGAAATTTGGGTTGAAGAGCCATGCAGATTTCCTGTTGGTGAATTCTGTATTACTTGATTAAGAGGTTTTCAGTGGGAATTAGGCACTGAATATACTTGTGGCATGTTTGAAAATTCATTTATTCTAGTGGGGTTCCATAAATGCAAGTGAAGAAATTAGGCCTTCTTCTGAAATTCACACTGTGTGGAAAGCCCCCAAGTATCTGTACACCACCTTTTAAAAATGGCGGCGCCGGCTTTATGCTAATGAAGCCCGGGAAATTCAAATTCCGGGCTTCATTAGCAAGTTCGGTATGCATACATTACTCCCCTAGTTCGAACTAGGGGGGTAGTGTAGACATACCCTCAGAGAGTAGTTATTAATGGGTCATAATCCTGCTGGAAAGACATAACAAGTGAAGTTCTGCAAGGGTCTGTTTTGTGACCGATTCTGTTCAATATCTTCATCAACTATTTAGATATTGGCATGGAGAATACACTTATTAAGTTTGCTGATGATACCCAGCTGGGTGGGGTTGCAACTGCTTTGAAGCCTAGGGTCATAATTCAAAATGATCTGGACAAACTGGAGAAATGGTCTGAGGTAAAAAGGATGAAGTTTAAAAAGGACAAATGTAAAATACTCCATTTAGGAAGGAACAATCAGTTTCACACATACAGAATGGGAAGCGACCGTGTAGGAAGGAGGACTGCAGAAAGGGATCTAGAGGTCACACTGGACCACAAGCTAAATGTGAATCGACAGTATGACACCGTTTCAAAAAAAGAAACACGATTCTGAGATGCATTAACAGGAGTGTTGTGAGCAAGACACGAGAAGTTATTCTTCTGCTCTACACTGCACTGATTAGGCCTCAGTTGGAGTATTGTGTCCACTTCTGGGCACTACGTTTCAAGAAAGATGTGGAGAAATTGGAGAAGGTCCAGAGAAGAGCAAAAAGAATGATTAAAAGTCTAGAGAACATAACCTATGAAGGAAGACTGAAAGAATTAGGCTTGTTTAGTTTGGGAAAGAGAAGACTGAGAGGGGACATGATAGCGGTTTTCAGGTATCTAAAAGGGTGTCACAAGGAGGAGAGAGAAAAATTGTTCTCCTTGGCCTCTGAGGGCACGTCTAGACTACGCTTGGCTTCTGAAAGAAGATATGCAAATTAGGCATGAATTTATATATCTTCTTCAAATCCCTTTTTCGGAACAGGTTTTTTCAGGAAAAAAGCAGTCTAGACGAGTTTTTTTGTGCAAAACCTCCCTTTTTTCAAAAGAACCATTATTCCTCAAAAAATGAGGTTTACGGGGTTCTTTTGAAAAAGGGGTGGACTAGTGGCTGGACCTTTCCTGCCCTTTTAACTGAAAGTAATTCTCCTCCAAAGTGACTAAAATCTATCTAATCTTGACAATATAATATTTAAATAATTTGTCCTCCACAGCCTGAGATTCTTGTTCATGTGTATATCCTTTAGGTGAAATTATATTTGCATGAGATGGTTCAGTTGAAGCACTTTTTTATTTTCTCTGGAACATTACTACATCATCTTTCCTTAAGCTTGTGTAAGTCTATTAAAACCAATTTTGCTGTAGGCAGTAAGACAAGTCTAAGCTGAAAGAATAACTGTGACCCTTTGAAAAGAGGCAAAGAATTTATTAGAGGAAGTATTGTGTCCTCTTAGCAATGCCATAGTTAATTTATCTTTTTGTTCACTTGCATGTCAAACATGCATCATCAAATAGAAAAGACAAATGGAGTTGCACTCTGCTGTTACATATTTTACAGAAGCAATTTCAAAATTAAGCTAATGTTTGTATTTCAAAGAGGCAAAATTATGTAAACTTACTACAGTAATACAATGAACATTAAAGTCACACAGAATAATCAAAATTAGGTTTCTGATGTGCTATTAATAGTTGTGCAGCTTACACATTTTATTGTATACTATAACACTATATTAAACTATGCATTTATTCAATAGGAACAGAAAATACTATATATATATTCAAAGAAACTACAACTTATGTTGGCTATTATTGAATGTGAATTTTACCTAATAAATCTAGATATGACATATGTTGAGGACTGATGTAGAGCTCTTCTGTCAGCTTTACATTGACTGAGGAAACTCATGACACTTGGGCTACGTCTAGATTGCATCCATTTTTCGTAAAAGGGATGCAAATTAGATGTATCGCAATTGCTAATGAAGCGGGGATTTAAATCTTCCCCGCTTCATTAGCATAAAAAGGGCTGCCACTTTTTTTTGGCACAGAGCTTTGCCGGAAAAAAGTGCCAGTCTAGACGCGGATCTTTCGGAAAAGGCTTTATTTTCCAAAAGATCCGCATCTAGACTGGCGCTTTTTTCCGGCAAAGCTCTGTGCCGAAAAAAAGCGGCAGCCATTTTTATGCTAATGAAGCACGGGAGATTTAAATCCCCGCTTCATTAGCAATTGCAATATGTCTAATTTGCATCCCTTTTACAAAAAAGGGATGCAATCTAGATGTAGCCTTGGAGTTTTTCCTGGGGGCTATTACAACACTCCTTATGCAAGCAGAAAAGACAAGAGGGGCCGAGGTTACAGACAAAATTGGACTCAATACAGTCGGAGTAGCTAACATCTGCTTGTCCAAATAGGTCATTCCTGTTAGTACAAAACAGTCAGCAGGGAGAATCTGTTCAATTAAATGTCACAAACCCCTTTCATTGGTAAGGTTTGAATAGTGAGGTCATTAATTCAACAGGATAGAAACTCTAAAAGAAATGCTGGATTACCATATGTTTTTGTGACAAGAAAAAGTTACCTGAAACTGATGTCTAAAAGCAATAGGGTTTTATTAACAAATGGAGACCACCAAATGGAAATTACCCACTATTTAGACTCCAAGATGGTATCTCCCCTAAATCATTGAAGGGTTTCGGTCTCAATGGTCAGATCATTGGCTGCTGTAAACTTGAGTAGCTTCATTGACTTAAACAAATTGAGGACCTGGCCCATGGACATCAAAGTCTCCAGAAAGCTAAAAGGGAAGAGTTAAGTTGTTGTCTTGTAACAATACGTGCTAGCTAACCTGGTAAAAAGGAGCCACAATACAGCCATAACTGGCACTTCATGAATACTCTTAGACCTCATCTACACAAAAGGAGAAAGTTGACTTAAGATACGCAACTGCAGCTACGTTAGTTACATAGCTGGAGTCGAAGTATATTAAATCACATTTTGGCACTGTCCACACAGCAGGAAGTTGTTGGGAGCACACTCTCCTTTTGACTTGCCTTACTCCTCATAGGAGCAGGACTACCGGCACTGATGGGAGTGTCCTCTCATTTTGAATTAGTGTGTCTTCACTAGATATGCTAATTCGAACCCTGGAAGATCAACTGTGGCAGCTTTGATCTTCTCTGTAGTGTAGACAAGCCTTTAGTGAAGAGAGCTGCTTCAGCAGGTGCAGAGCTCCTCCACACCCTCCCAAGAGACCCCAAGGTAGAAAGCTTATTAAGATTTAAGGGGGAAGATTAAAGATGTTCTGTATCATTCCTCAGCATACAGTAGAAAAAAATGATTTTAGTCTCTCCACTAGCTCAAAAATGGCTAAAAGAATCTTTATGGAAATGTTCCAGAAGTACTCACTTCTAGACTGAAAGTAGACATAGACATTATTAATAAGAGATTAAGAACTTGACTTCAAAAACTTAAGTTATGATGAAAATTGTCTTGCAATATTAGTTGAGACAGCCTACCATAATAAGCTTTTAAAAATGTATGAGGCAGAGTTCAAAAACAGAATTCTGGCTACTGTTTCATAAATTGTAGAAGTCCCCCATGTTGAACATATATTTCTCTTGCTGCTGTTTGGCATAATGTTTACTAATCCAAAAATCGCAATTTTAGTTCTCAAATGCATTGTAAGCAATGTCTACAGAGATAGCTGAATTATTTAACAAATGAATATTTCTTTCAGACTGATGCTCAGATAAGAAGTCTTTATATTGTTTCACTTGAAGAATGGCCACAAAAACAAAAATGATTCAGTCTAAACTAGACAAGTCTTTAACAGAAATAGATTAGAATTTAAAGGGTTATGAAAAATTTGTTCTCTGTACCAAAACCATAAGCACACATGAAGTTTCTTCCAAATAGCTTTTTATTTTAAGTAAAAACAATAAAATTCAACTTGTTTTCTGAACAAAATGGGCTCATGTTTCAAGAAGTGCACTACTATAAATAGTTGTGTGTGTCATCCAAGCAAATTTGATTAACGTATTTTATACTTACCACAACTGAAGCTTTAAACTTATAACTGATCACATCTGGTAAACATGGTTTTAAAAGATTGCACAACCACTTGATCAATTGAGGCCAAAATATTTAAATATATCTCCCAGTTATGATTGGTTCAATTTTGGGGAGTCTAGCCTGAGATAGCTTAAGTCAGATCCAATATCCATTGAAATCAATAGAATCCTTTCCACTGACTTCTGTGGGCACTGAATCAGGGTCCTAAAACCTGCCTTTCAGAAATGCGTATTTCATCATAGGGGGATGCAGATGTTCAAGTCCAAAGTGCCTTAATATTGGACTTCAAATCTGACAAACTGAAAATCAGTGGACACTTTTAAAAATGTGTATATCCTCATCCTTGATCAATCCAACATAGTTTCTTCTACCATTGCAACACGTTTGTTTAAATTACTTAATCGTAACTGGGCAGGCAATGAAGTTTTTGGGTGTAAAAAGTACAAAATAATAAAGTGCTGTAAAACTTAAAACAAAAATTCAGTTTTCTCCAAATTTCAGTTGTGTTGACATATCCCCCAGACTTCTCTCGAGTACCCTAAAGGGTACTCCTACCACTGGTTGAGAAACACTGACCAAGATGGTCTCCCTGGATAGGAGAGTTTGCTAACTGAGCTTGCATACCTAGATTATGCAGGGTGTGCCAATTGAACTGTATCAGCATTTTGACTTGATGCAGAGGGAGCACATAACTCTGACAATGTGTGTAATCAGTATGCAATCACCATGAACCTCACTCCACGTGTCCTTGCTTTATGTGCATGTCACTTTTGAAATACCAGTAGGAAAAAAACTATATGGATGAAAACCAGCAGAATCTGGCCACCCTGTGTGTGGGCAACAGTAAACAAAATGTCTCGTGGGCTACAGATAGAACTGCAGTGGACATCTACCCGCCAATTGGTTAGGACTGGCCCTACTTCAGACTACTGTAAAGTCCTTATTTAAAGCATCATTTTACACCGATTAAGAGAAAAATAGATAATCTCCATATTATAAACCATAGTTAGTTTGGGAGGAAAAGCCTGAAGCAATCAACCCATAAACTCCACCTTGAGATGTATTTACCTGTTTTGAAACATTGTTTTCCTTCGGGTTTTCAAAATTTTTTTCTGTTTCTAAAAATAACAAAAGCCATCAGAAAATGCATTTTGTTATACATTTAATTTCTGATCAAACAAAATGTACTCTTACATATAAAGATTAATTTTGTTATTCTTTTAATTGAGCTTTTGCAGATAATTCTAATATACCAATTCCTCAGTAGGACCCTAGTTAGAATACATGGACAGTGTCAGAGATGAAATGTAACTGTGCACGCTCACCATGGTCCCCTGGTACAGAGCTCCAGTACAAAGGCTTCCAGGCTTTATGCAGGGACCACTGTAGGACCTGGAGAAGATTACCTTTACCACAGGTTAGAGGGTAAATTTAAAGTGTAGTATAGTTCTGCAGTCCTCCATGACAGCTCTTCCAGCTCCTGGGCTAGAATAATGGACGTCACCTCTGCAGTTCCCTACAATAAGTAAGCATGAACTGAAATGTTCCTCTGTGGTTAGCTCATAGTGCTACCACCTGCAAATAACCTGAAAAACAACCGTGCCACTATTCAAAAAATGTTGAAAAAATCCTGTATTCCCTTTAGGAGAATCATCTGACCTTTACATTTATAATATTTTTCTTTTGTTATAAGCTCTGTATAACAAAATAAAGAGATAAAGACATCATACACTGTAGGATAGGGAAGGAAAGAAAAAGCATAAAGGTGATAGCGTTATGAGAGAATTGAATATGATATAACCTGCAGCCACCTTGTGTACTTAGCCCCCATAAGCTAGCAATGGGAATTACAGTATCAGGAGAAACCTGGCCTTGACTCAGACAGACAAAACGAACAGCTGCTAACTGCAGTTTTACTGCTTCAGGGGGTAGCTGAGTTAATCTGTTACAGAAAAAAACAGCAAGCAAATGGTCTGGTAGCACTTTATAGACTAACAAAACATGTAGATGGTATCATGAGCTTTTGTGGGTACAGGAAACTAACTAGGATACTAACTAACTAGGATAGCTAAAGTGAAAGGACAGATTCATGAGAAGCAGTGGAGAATCTAGAAAACTGATCTTGATTCTGGGTGCCTGTGTTCATAAGGTTTTTTGCTGAGGCTACTTTGCTGATAAGGAGAATAATGAATTATTATTGGCTATTGCTAGGGAAATTTAGTCTAGTAGGGTTTATAATGAGTTATGTGCCTGAGAAAAATCTATAGAGAGTTTAGTTACGGGCATTTTTTTGTTAATAAGGAATCACTGACATGAAATTCCCCAACAGCTAAGAGAGAGGTTGGTCACTGGAACCCTGTTGTCAATCAATGTCACCTCACACTTAGAGTAACTAATTATGGGGTGTGCTAAGACTATTTCTATTTTAGATGTGTGCTTTGTACTCAGTAAAAAACAATATTTTTGGTAGAAGCATTCTTGTGTGTAACAATCATTTATCACACAGAGGTACTGTGTCTCCCACTGATTTATTTCCTGAGATCACTTGGAAAACAGGTTAATTACCACAACTTTGGGTTCAGATAACCGTGGGTAACAATAACATTATAGTTACATACCAATGCCTACGTTGTATCTGAATTCTTAGATTTTTTTAAATTGGTAAATGACTTCCCTAACTGTACCAAAACCTAGCTACTATTATTTAGCTGAGGTATTTTTGAAAAATATCTGAAAACTTGGTCATTCCCATTTATACTACAAGACTGACCTGATATAATTGGATTCACGTCTTTACTTTATAATTTGTTTTATAATTGTGATATATAAATGTAAGGGGAAAATATGGTACTACAGTCATTTATCATGCAATATAACACTAAGAGCTTTCTTCCTTTTTTGTAGCTTTAATGCAAATTTAAGAGCTTTAATCTCTTACTATATATTTTAGAAACATGCATGTGTCTGTCTGTCCATCTGTGAGTCCATTTGTTCAAGAACGCCTCCTAAACGGTAAGAGCTACGACCACCAAATTTGATATGCAGCTTCTTTTTAACATAACTTAAAGCAAGGTCAGGGTTTAGTTGTGCTAGGATAATAGGAACATATGTGTGGAATTCAATTGTTTCTCAGAAAATGGAAAGGGAGGAGTCTGGTAGGAGGGACAGTTATGCTACAGAATACCCATAGGGAGCAGAAATGCAGACCGGAACAGCTATTTACTATATATTTCAGAGAGTTTGTCTGTTCATGAGTCTGTTTGTGTGTCTGTCTGTCCTCCAGCTGGGGCACATGCACCTATCTGCTAGCTGTGCCTGCTGCAGCTGCAGAGGCCATGGAGAGGTGCTTCTCACTTGTTCCCAAGCTGCTGTGGTCAGAGATGGCTGAGGCTGGGGCTGTCCTCTCTCTCTAGGACCACCCCAGAAGAATGATTTAAATGAAGAAAAACAAAACTTATTTGAGTTAAGAGCCTGAGCAACAGCAGGTAAATCTAGTTACATTTTATAAATACTTAAGTACTATTAATTTTTTAAAGTGAAATATTAAGTGTGGAATTCTACACAACTCATTGAGCATAGAACTTTTAGAATTCAAATTTTATAGGGAATCTGTACTTCACAAACATGGTATTTTAGAATTTTTTTAATGGTGTCAGCTTCTAGTAACATTTCATTTTGACTGAGAAATGAATTAATTTTAAATTATCTTCTCTTTAAACATTGACAATGTTCTTGCAAAAAATGGTTATTTTTCTATATTGTCACTGTTGCTCTTTGAGATGCGGGCACATACGTGGTCAAGTCAGGTGTGCAGGCACCCAGCAAACTAACGCTGAAGAACTTTGATTAGTAGTATCCATCAAAGCAGCACCTATCCTTTGGCCCTTGTAGTCCCCCCACCCTTGGCTATATAACGGCAGTGGTGCCCCCAAACCCCTCAGTTTCTTTGCATTGGCATTCACACACGAAGGCTTGGAGGCAGAGGGCATGAAGGATGGATTGTGGAATCCATGACTGCACCCACATCTCAAAGAATGGCAGTTACAATATAGGTAAGCAACTCAGCTGTAATTGCTCATATCAGAGAAAAAAACCTTGAATTCTCAGACTTATAGGGACCTCAGTGTAGGGATGTTAAATTTCGATTGATTAACTAACTGAATAATCTATGAAATTACAAAGCAGAAGCACCGCATGGAGCCTGGGGTCTGTGGGGGACTCAGGGTCCCGCGCTGGCCCAAGGCTCCATGCTGTGCTTCCTCTTTGAAATGCACAAGAGCCCCCGCTGGAAACTCTTGTACATTTCAAACTCAGAATGCTGTGTGGAGCCCAGTGTCAGGCTCCATGAGGGCGCTTCCACTTTGAAATGTACAAAAGCCCCAGCGGGGACTCCCCGGTAGTCCCGGACTCCACGCAATGTGCCAACTTTCATATGTACAAGAGTCCTGAGCGGGGGCTTTTGTGCATTTCAAAGAAGAAGAGCAGCATGGAGCCTGGGGCCAGTGTGTGACTCTGAGTCCCCGGCTGACCCCAGGCTCCATGCGGTGCTTCCGCTTTGAAATGTACAAGAGCCCCAGTGGGGACTCTCTGGGAACTTCCCACTTGCCCCGGGCACCACATGGCATTCCAACCTTGAAATGTACAAGATTCCCTGCTGGGGTTCTTGTACATTTCAAAGAGGAAGCACCGCATGAAGACTGGGGCCTGCAGGGCACTCTGAGTCCTTCGCTGGCCCCAGGCTCCTTTTTGCGGAAAACAAATCTCAGCTGTCTACACTGGCCCTTTTGCGCAAAAGGGACTTTTGCCCGAACGGGAGCAGCATAGTATTTCCGCAAAAAGCACTGATTTCTTACAGTAGGAAGTCAGTGCTTTTGCGGAAATTCAAGCGGCCAGTGTAGACAGCTGGCAAGTTTTTCCGGAAAAGCGGCTGATTTTCCGAAAAAACTGGCCAGTCTAGACACAGCCTATGATTTTAAACTTCGGGAGCTATACTGGAGTTCTGTAGCCATGAGGCCCTTATCATCACAGCTAAGGTTGTAAGTAAACAAAGCATCTACTGCATGCAGTGCTGATGGTAAAAAAGTCTTGGTCACCAAATGGTCTTCTGTAATAAATGCCTGCAACTCTTCCCTAGAACATTCTGGGAAGTGCTGAAAACATTGTGTCCCAATTTACAAAGTCATATTTAAACAATAATGCTCGCTGGTTGGCTGCATGCACTTACAATGAGGAGGTTTAATACGTTTTCCTCCGCTCCCATAAAATTTAACTTTTTAGACTTTGTTTTTAGGAGTAGACTTATACCTTCTCTTGCCACACTCATTTGCCACAGTCACAACCAGTGAACTAAAATGTGCCTAACGTTGTATGAGGACATAATATCACTTGTCAATATGTTTGTAGACACTGGAGTATTCCACAGAGATTTGGCAGGCTTCGGTATCATTTCATTTATAGGGAGAGTAATTCTCCCTGGAGCTAAACACTGAAGAATACCCACTAACTTATTAATAGGGTTTGTTATTGGCATTTGTAGTGAAAATCATGAACACATCACGGGCAACAGACCAAAAGTCATAGAAGCCTGTGACCTTCCCATGATTTTCACTAAAAATACCCTTTTGCCTAAAACCTTCTAGAAAAATTTAGCCCATGGCAGACAGCTGGCATGTAAAATTTCAGACCAAATATTTATATTTTGGCAAAGTTATAAGCAAATGAAAACAGAGTATTATAAAGCAAAATACTGGACAATCTTAATAGTAGACAGTGCTGATTATAAGCCCATATATCTTACAGAAATTCTCTGGGTCTGAAAGAGGACTAGGGGTTGTCCTTTTCCAAGAGGCAGATGGAGATGAACACATAATTGTGTATATAAGCTGGAAACTCTTCCACCTGTGGGAAAGTGATCTCAGTAATAGAAAAAAAAGTGATTGGCTGCTGAATAGGCAATCAAGAATCTCTGGTACTACTTCCTAGCAAATTAGTGTATATTAGTTACTGATTATGCCCCCTTATGTTGGCTGAATATGATGAAAGAAACAAACCAGACATGATAATTGTTGCTACAACCATATGCCTTTCGAATACAGCCCTAAGCAGAAAACTTGCATCA